AGTCAGAGTTTTTTCAAGCCCGTTTGATGAGAAACCTTTTTTTTTCTTCAAGAAGAAATTTGTGAGACTAGCTTTCCCAAGAATACATTTTGAGAAATGCTCAGCTCTGATGCCCAAAAGCTAAGGCTTGAGTTAAAAACTGCTTATAACTTACTGGCCATGAGACTACAGGCAGGTGTTCTAACCATGCTGGACTTAAAACACCTCATCTGAAAAATGGGAATGATCATGGCTTCTACTTCCAATATTTTGTGACCCCTAGATAATTCTACTCTTATTACTACTATCACTATGAGGTCCTACCACTTTCCATGGTGGTCACTATTCACTGGTATATCCAACAAGCACTTGACACCCACTTCTCCCTTTCTGTTTCAATTATAGAAAATGCAAAAGCCAGATTACAAACTAGAAATAGACTCAGAGACATAGAAATAAAAGCTATGGTTACCAAAGGGGAAAGAGGTAAATTAGGAGTTTGGGATCAACATATAGACACTATCGTATATAAAATAAACAAACAACGTGGACCTACTGTATCGCACCAGAAACTATATTCAATATCTTGTAATAACATATAATGGAAAAGATTCTGAAAAAGAATATATACATAGATGTATAACTGAACCACTTTGCTGTACACCTGAAACTAACACAACATTGTAAATCAACAATACTTCAAAAAAAGTTAATCAGAAAGAAGCTAAGTGCGTGCTTTCTTATATTCTCTTGCAGCAAGGGGTTGCTATTAGAGACGGTTTTGGCCAATAAGACATTAGGCAATTCTTAGGGAACTCTGAGAAGACTATTGTTTTCCTGAATAAAGAGGTGCAATGCATGGAGCTCATGTGCATCCATCCCAGCTGAAGGCTTGGAGATTAGCAGGGGCGCTGGCTCCGACACCGCTGAGCCCTGAAGGACCGCCGGGAGCAGTCTGTCCTCATACTTCTTGTAACATAAGGAAAATGAAACGCAAGGAGGTCATGCAAGTCTCTGAAAATCAGGTTTACCCGCAGTTGAACACATTTCTAAGAGACTTAGCTACCATTTTTTGAGTGCTTTCTGTGTGCTGATAGAAAGCATTTAACACGTTTCAATTCATTTACTCCTCCCTACAGGGATTATTACCTACCATTCTCCAGGTTAGGGAGCAGACTGAAGTACCTTGTTCAAATTCACACACAGGGTGTGCTAACTTTCGGAAGTATAGTCACTATAACCTTGGAAGGTATTATCATGTTTTTCACTCTGAAGTAGGCAACTAGCATCCTCTTTAAAATGGAGCGCTTGCTGTCCGCCAGGAAATGAGGAAGGGACTTGTACTGGCCTTTTCAGAAGCAGGGCCCAGACCCAGTCTGGATTTACAGCACCTGCTTCTCACATGCTGGATGGAGGGGGGCAGAAGCGGGCGAGGCCCAGCACGGCAGCTGCTTCTCCCCAAAGACCTGCACCCAGAGATGTAAGTTGCCTGTTTGAGCCCACCCGAGATCCCGGTGGAGGGGCTTGTTGGCGTATTACAGAATTCAAGCCTGAGGAGCACAGCCAGTGAAGGTAATTTAGAAAAAAATGAGAATGTTGGGAGCACCCAGGTTCACTTGTTCCCCGTTCATTCAGTGTGACGGGTGATGTGATAGGCACTGGCCTTTACAAAGCTACAAACTAGAAGGAGAGGGAGGAGGGTATAGCTCAGTGGTAAAGTGTGTGCTTAGCATGGTACGAGGTCCTGGGTTCAAGCCCCAGTACCTTTGTTAGAAAAATTAGGAAGTAAACCTAAATTACACCCCCACCCCAAGATTAAACAATAACAAAAAAACCTAAAAAGCAAGATAAATCCACACATAGGCAGTTATACCCTACGGTGTTCTGAACGTCTTGATTCTGGATCACAGAGATGGAGTATTCAGTCTCATGGGAGGTAGAGAGGAAAGGAATTTTAGTTTGGGTTTAATTTACTTCTTAGAATTATATCTTCAAAGCGGGGAACAGCTATAGGATGTATGTGATACCAGGGTGTTACAGCTTTCTCTGGCCTTTCTTCTTCTCCAAATCCAAAGCAGGTTCCAGCCTGTATACCCTAGCTATTTGCAAAAAGAAATCTCTTTATGATCAGGGTATAGCCTGTCATCCCAGCTATAATCACATATATTTGTCAAGGCTGCATACAGAAAAGCCAACAATTGCCCAAGGTCCTTCGGTACCCTCTTTGATATTCTGATATCCCCAATGTATGACTGCAAAACCCAATCATTAAGAACTACGTGACCCTATAGGGAAAGCAAGTTCAAAGAGTGCCCTAAACATTGAGAATTCCTGTTTTCTGTTGGCATTGTCAGTGAATTTTGTTGCTTATGTTGTCTCTCTATTTACTAAAGTAGAAATGAAATGGTTGAAAATAGTAATCTAATGTTACTAGAGGAGCGTTAGAAATAGAGCAAAACATGAGATCAATGGATGGGATGAGTGACTGGATTCTTGAGCAGCAACTGACGACCACAGGAATGCAGGAGCAGTTTTAATACGGATCACTCTCAGCTTAATCCCATGAGTTAGCAGAACCGCTAGGGGGCAGTAGCACGCACACTTGAAGACAAGCGAAAAATAGGTACCACATTTCTACCTCCCCCAATCCATTCATTCAACAAGCTTCTTAGCGCTTCCGGGCCCTTGGAGGCACAGTGATGAACAAGGCAGACGAGGCCTCCACTCCCAAGCTGACTCTGCTTAAACTGGGACAAGGGGTGTGCTCTCCGGTTCAGCAAGGAGCTACAGAATGTCAAAATGAAGAAGCTCTGGAAATCCAGGCTGTGTAATCAACGTATCTATAGGTCTGTCCTGCCTTTTATGAGGCTCTCTTTGTTACTAAGATCATCCTTGTTGCATACCTAGCACAGAGACTTTCAGGCGTGGAAAAAGACCGAAAGTTGTTGACTGACTTAATAATAGCAAACACTTAAGAACTGTGGTATACACTTACATGAATTTACTCATTTAGTCTTACAACCACTATATACAGTATGCTTCATTATCTCCATTCATCAGAGGAGAACACAGAGGCGGAGAGAGGTTAAGGGACCAGCCTGTGGTCACATGGCTGGTGACTGATGGCGCCACTATACAATCCCAGTGCTGCCTGGCCCTGTGCCCTGCTACCTCCAATAAACTATCTACTCTGTGCGTGGCCTTTACACACACTATTTCCTTCACTCTTTACAATCCTATGAGGTAAGTGGTATGATCTCAATCTGGCAGATGAAGAAATTAAAGCTCAGAGAAGAAACGGCAGTGCCAGTGTTCAAACTCAGGACCACCTGGGTACAAGGCCAGGTGGTTCTTCACCATCGCTCCATGCTGTCTTTCTAAGGAGCCTGCCCTGCTGAGTTTCGGGGGTGCTTGGGCAGACGCTCACAATTTCATCCCCCCAGCAACCTGTTTGTTTTCTCTACCAAGATGCCTAGAAGATTTTACTTGAAGAAAGAATGTAAAGAAAGGCTGATAAAAGAAAAGTTTGAAAAAATGAATTTCCTGAGACAAAATAAAAGGCTGATCTTGCAGAAGTTTCAGAAAAAGGATGTTTTACAGAGGATTCAGGAAGGCAGATGGAAGATACGCCAACAGGTTAGATATATGGAAGGTCTTCTGTGTATAGACCATGGCATTGCCAGGATTTATTGAAGTAGAAGAGGTTATTTTCCCCAAGGTTTATAACTCAGTTGAATACCTTGCACAGTATCCATGGAAAGAGATGAGAGGCATATAGGAATCAGAAAAGAATGGAAAGAGGCAAGGATACAAGTTAATCATGCAAGTGAATCGGGTCATGAGGATAAACCCTCAGCATCCTGTGAGTCCTTTTCAGTCCTCAGCAGACACAGTATCTTTACCATCATCATAATTCAGGCTTTGAAGAATTAGGGTTGAACGGAAAGTAGGATTTTTCATGCAGACTGAATGATGGTATAAGAGAATTGTTCAAGGACTAGTATTTAGCTATTTATCTTCCACTTGAAAAATGTTTATCTTCCATTTCTTTATCTAGGTTTTTGGAATATTCTCAAATCTCTGTAGAGTTAGCAGATGGATGTTCTGACTAGCTCTTTTGACATGTATTCTTCAATATTATTCCCAGTATCAGTCTATGTAGTTTTTTTTAATATCTCCAAATTTGTTCTCAAGCCACTGGTAAGATGATCTCATTATGAAGTGCCTCAGAGGGCATTTATCACGTAACAAAGTACCCCACATGGGGAGAAATCATTGGCTGTTGGCTTCAGATTATTTTCAGATGGCAACTGGCTGATAACTGCTACCTGGGATACTGACCTGGGTGGACAGGGAGGGACTCTGGGTGACAGAGAAAGTGGGAAACGGGCTGGTTGTTTAGGAAGATTATCTGCAAAGCCATTTTGCTGTTTTGCCCCTTTCAGCTACTTGGATGTTTCACAAAGACTTCAAGCTGCCCATTAAGAACGAAAATATAAATTCTACATTCTTGTGCCTCTCTGGGATGGGTAGTCAAGGGTTCTTCTGGGCTTGAGAAAGGTTCAGGCACACGTAAGGGCAGTCAGACCTGCAAGGCTTTTGGCATTCTGCCTTCAGCATACTCTTTGTTAACACCGATCTTCTCTGCTCTGCTCTGGTGAACTTGAATTCAGCCCACAGAGTATCTCTGTCCCCTCAGGATCCGAAGGTCCTTGCCTTGTGTCAATGACTTAGCTGTGCCCTCCCTGCCCTTCTGACCTCACTTCCCTTTTGTTGTAAGTCTTTGCTTTTTTCCACCTTTATCTCAACGGCTATGTTGCTAGCCTTAGACTAAGTAACTGGGCCCATATCCAATGAACTCCATGAAAACCATCCAAGGAGAATGTCCAAAGCCCTTTCCTAGCACCCTGCCCCTCCCAGTTTTATTCACTCAGGTGGTTCCCATGGAAAAGACCCGGGAAGCAAATGCCACTGCTTCAGCCATAGGCGCCAGCGCCCCACAACACCCGCACCACTTTTACCTTAGGGTTTCCCCAGAGGAGCCCCTCCTCTTCCACAGGTTGATGAGGCTGCTGGATCTGCTGGCCGCCGAGGAAGACTTGCCGTCCCCCACGTGCATGCGCACCACGGTGGACGTGGTGAAGGCGCTGCGCACGTTCCTCTCGGGTTTGGCCAGGATGATGTACACCTTCGGCACAAACATGCAGCCGAGTGCCACTGTGGCACTGAGGCTGACTGAGAAGCACATGGTGATGATCTTGTAGTTGCTGCCAAAGTAGATGGGCACAAAGGCCAGCCATATAATGCAGGTGGTGTACATCGTGAAGGCGATGTACTTGGCCTCGTTGAAGTTAGCCGGAACGTTTCTGGTCTTGAAAGCATAGAAGGTACAGCTCAAGATCAGCAATCCATTGTATCCGAGAGGAGTGACAACCCCAAGGTTGGTGGTGTTACAGATCAGGTGGACTTCCCGAATGTTTGGGTAGTCGTGCGTTACATCGGGAGGCTCCATTATAAAGAGGGCGACGATGATGCCCAGCTGGATGCAGATGAGAATGAAGGCAATCACGAGCTGGGCACAGGCACTCATGAATCTGGGCTTTTTGGTGCAGATCTTCTTCTTGCTGCCCGCCAGGATCCTCGCGATGCGATTGGTCTTGGTCACAAGGGCTGAGTAGCTCATGGCTGGGGAGAGACCGATGCCTATTCTCTGAAGGTAGCAGTAAATCTGCTTGGGCTTTGCAATGAGGCAGAAGGTGCACAAGTAGCCCAGGCAGATGCCAGCAAGGATGATGTAGCAGAGCTCCCTGCTGGAGGACTTGACTACTGGGGTATCACGGTAGATGATGAAGACCGCGGTAACAAACAGGGTGGCCAGCAGACCAAGGCAGGCGAACACCACAGCTGCAATGGGCTCAGGGTCACCCCAGCGGAGATACTGCACTGGGATCAAATCACAACCTGCAGAGACACAGACACATATTGAAACAGAAGGAAGAGATGCTGACTTGGGTCATTTGTGCCTCATTTACAAGCAGTTGCTTATGACTCTTTTACTTTTCTCCAGTCTACCTTTCTTTCTTTTTCTTTTCTTTTTTTGTTTCTTATTTATTTATTTATTTATTATTTTAATTGAAATATAGTTGATTTCCAATGTCGTGCTAGTTTCTGGTGCACAGCATAGTGATTCAGTCATACATATATACATATTCTATTTCATATTATTTTTCATCATTGGTTATTACAAGATATTGAATGTAGTTCCCTTTGCCGTACAATAGGACCTTGTTTCAGTCTAACTTTCTAATCTCAGTGTCTCATACTACTCATTTCTTCATAGATTCATTCTTAAAATATTTATCTTTAGATTATCAAATACATATTCAGTGACAGGAGCTGTTCTAGGTTCTGAAAACAAAATGATGAAGAACATGTTCCCAGTCCTCATAAAAAATAATCGAGATTGTAGGGAGGAGAAGGCTTTTAAAGGATTATTTTCAAGTGTGATAAGGGCCATGAAGAAGTAGAACATGGCCCCTGACCCAGTCTGTGGAAGCAATAGAGCCTCTTGCAACAGCAATTAGCAAATGAAAGTATTGGTTTGGCTGAGTTTGGGGATTTGGAAAGTTTGGCAAACAGAAATTAGCTGTAAGGAAAGAGCTAGGGGGCACCGGAGGCATGAAAGGAGGTCACTGTGCAGTAGTGTGATGAGTGGCCTAAGAGAAGGCTGGGAGGTGTGCACGAGGGGATCTTGCAGGGCAGAGAGTCTTAGATCAACGAGAAGTCATTGCAGGGATCTGTGTAGACAGAGGAAAGACATGGTCAGATCCGTGTGTGTTTTAAACATTCCTTCGGTTGCTTGTGGATTTGGGATGAGATAAAAGTATACACAGAATTGAGAATGATTGGAAGCAATCTAGACTTTTAAAATGGATGTGGGGGTATGTGAAAGGTAAAGGCATCAAGAACGACCAACATTGGATCTAGCTACATTGTCCTTGAATCCACTGCAAAGAAAAAAAAAGTGTCAACTTGACATACTTTGGGTTATGTGTCTTCTTTTAAAGTTTCTTTTGGACAGTGGTTCTCAAGCTTGGCTGTACACTGAAATTACTTAGATAGTTAAAAAAAACCCAACAACACTGTGGCCTGGGTTTCACTGTCAGCTTCTGATTTAATTGGCCTGGGCATCAGGAATTTTTAAAGGCACTCCAAGGATTTCTAATTGTGCAGCCAAACTTGAGAACCACTGCTCTAGAAGGATCATTCCTGTCAACCATACTTTTTAAAAAATAGAATGGAGATAGATTTATTGAGTGAGTAACAGAAGAGTTAAATAATCTGGGTCATTGAACATTTGAGCGATGTGGCAGACATTACTAATTGCCTGCAAATATCCATTCTTCCTTTTATCCTCAAGGACAGATCTCCAATTTCATTTGGGGTAGTAAAGGATGTAGCTGAAATGCTACAGTTTCCAACAATATTTGCAGTCACATGTGCCACGTGAGTAGGTTTTAGCCAGAAAGATGTAAGTAGATAACCTCCTTAGGAAAATGACTCATCTTGGAAAGTCAAGATGACTTTTTTGATCTTCCTGGCTTTTTCCTTCTCTTGACTGGAATATAAACATGATGGGTAGAGCTCCAGCAGTTATTGTGGACAACAGGGTAACATTAAGGACAGAAAACATGTTCTGGGTTTAGGCAGAGAAAAATATGGAACCACTGACTAGGTCTGGATTATGCACATTATATTTATCTTGTTTAAACTACTCCCCCCCCAATATATGTAGACAAACCAAATCCTAATTGATATAGGTGTAACTTCCTATTAACTTCCCTCATCTCATGATCAAGTGTGTTGTAGTAAGTAGCTTTGAGTGTCAATGGTTACCCGAAGGTAAAAAAGACAACAATACCAATATGTAATGATGTGTAGGGGAGTAGAATTTGCCACCCCAAATATGTCTCTTGGACATATTTTTAATAATTTAATAATTTTAATCTGGGTGCTTTCTAAGAAACAGCAGACATGGGGAAAACTCGGAAAACCACATAGGAACATAGGAGAGATACCCTTTTGTAAAAACCATTTGCATTCACAAGGGAAATCTTTTGTAAGCATGTCTCCCTTACCGTTCAGGAGAGGAGGATGACCAAGTCTCTAGAAACTCTTGTCAGTGGAGAAGGCAAGGACTTAAATCTGCATGATAACCTTTACCCTTACTGTGGTCTTCCCTCTCCCCCAACCCAGCTGACTCTCCCCACCCTCAACAGCCTCTTTCGTCTTTCCCTGAGGATGGCATTTAAGGGAGGGCTTTGGCCATTTTGGTGAGTTACTCATTTTTCCTGAGTCTCTCCCAGGTCTACAGGTTATTAAGCTATTTGATTTCTTCTCTTAATGTCTCTTGTTAATTTAATTCTTAGACCAGCCAGGACAACCTAGAAGGGCAGAGGAAAATTTTTTCCTCCTCAGCAATGACGAAGAAGCATGCGGTTCTTTCAAAAGATGTCCAAGGGCAGCTGTGTTGGAAAAAGGAAAGGAAACATTCTTCTTTCCCTTGTTTCTGCCTCACCAGGCTCTTTCTTCAAGATCTCAGGTTTCAAGTACTATTATTAGTACTACACAGTTAGATTCACTACGAATTTAATAGGATTTGTGAGTTAGCCTGAGACCCTCACATGCTTTACAAACTAGCTTCTATGAGAAAATGTATGCTTACTTTTTAATGTTTTTTTTTTGAGGTTTTTTTGTTTGTTTGTTTGTTTTTTAATGGAGGTACTGGGGATTGAACCCAGGACCTCGTGTGTGCTAAGCATATGCTCTACCACTGAGCTATACGTCCACTCACTATGCTTATTTTAAAAACCCATACTTTTAACTTTAAAGAGTATACGTGCATAGCCCAGGATAAATATGACAGTTATTTTATATAATGTCAATTATTATAAATAAATGGCTATTTCATTGTGAATGAATATACCTGTATCCCTATTTTAAAATTTGTTCCTTATAGAGACTATTTTACAGAAAGAAAATAGGGACCAATCATTTATCTGTATTCTTCCATAATAATTTATTCATAACATTGCTATAACAATGAAATGTATTATCTACTGTAGTTAATTCTTGTATTTCTTTTATGAGAGGAAGGTAATTAGGTTTATTCCTTGATTTCCACTTGAAGGAGGTACTGGGGATTGAACTCAGGACCTCTTGGGTGCTAAGCCTGTGCTCTGCCCCTTGAGCTATACCCTTTCCCCTACTGTAGTTAATTCTACAGGGACCTGTTTCCCCTACTAGGTCCTGATTTCCTATATCAGTGAATTACTATGGACATCAGTAATTTACTGATATAGGAAAGATGTTATGTGGTGCATGAAGCAAGAATCTTTTCACTAGCTAAAGAAAATCACCTGAAATAATGTATAAATATTTAAGGACTTTCACTTTACTGTCTTTTTTTCCCCCTGCTGTTCTGCTAAATCTTAATTGCTTTTATCTAAATGTAATTAGTACCCTAGTTACTAAATGTTTTCTGTATAATAACATTCACCGCTATTTTTATGTCAAATAGATTCTTGAATTCTCCATGTGCAACCCATTAACATCATGTGTGAAACTAAAGAAAGCCCATTAGATTTATGTGTTGGAAGAAATGTGTATAAGGCGTGCCTCTAATGTGCTGTGATTATTTTCACAAATTTGCCAAAATTTATGTATTCAAATGAATATTTTTTATTTAATGTGAACCCTCAGAAGGCTTTATGTTTAGTTTGATGATCCTGCCATTGTAAAAAATACTTTTGTAACTATTCTCTTAGAGTAGCAAATTGGATTTTTATTATAGAGTGTTACCATCATTGACTCTTATAACTGAATAAGATGTTGGAGTTTCCAAAAATAGATGTGCATCACAGTCACTTGGAGAGTCTATAAAAATACAATTCAGGAGATTTTGAATTAGTACGACTGGGGTGGGGCAAAGGAATTTTACTTTGCATAAGCATTCTCAGTGACTGCACAACTGGTCCTTGGTTGGCAGCCCGACCTGAGAGATTATCAGGTGGACTTCTCATCCAGTGTGTGAATGTCTTGCATGATAATTCCCAGATGCAGTCACCCAAGCCTACCTAAGGCTTTCCATGAACTATATACTGTCTCAAGGCCAGGACTGGTGGAGGGGGAACATAGACTGGAAAGACAGGAAGCCTGGATGGCAGGTAGAGACTGGAAGTGAATAAACTGGTTAGAAGGCAGTCACAAAAGGGCAGGCAAGGGACGACAGGGCCAAAACTAAGAGCCACTGCACTGAGAAAACATCCAACATTTCAGAGCTAGGACTGAAAGAAATTATGAGGTAGACAGACAGCAGTCAGGAGAGAGGCTTCTAACCAAGCTGATGGCAATGTTATTAACTAAGGTGAGGGCTGCTGGGAGAAAAGGGTCACGTTTTACAGGAATGATGCTTCGTTCCAGTTTGGACATGTGTTTGAAATATTTATGACCTACTGAACAGATGGACGCAGAAGCTTAGACGAGATGTCAGGGTGGAAGTTCTAGCTTTGGGAATCATCTGTTTAGAGGTGGAAATGAGAGATATAGAAATAATGTAATCAACAAGGAAATTCATGGCTATTGATGAGAGCAGCGCCAGAAGTCTGGTATGACACTGACATTAAGGAATGACCGAGGAAGAGGACATGTCAGGGAAGACATGAGATAGAGCAGCTGGGAGGGAAATGTGTCAGAAATCAGAGGAAAGGCTTAATTGGATGGCCCTCCGTACCCTCCTCTAACAATATCACTTCAGTTTTTCCTTTCCTTTCCTTCCTTCCTTCCTTCCTTCCTTCCTTCCTTCCTTCCTTCCTTCCTTCCTTCCTTCCTTCCTTCCTTTCTCTCTCTCTCTCTTTCTTTCTCCTTACCCAAAGAGCTTTCATGGAGCTTTGAACTTCAAA